TTTAATTGCAGCCAGAGTGGGTCATTAATTAATTTGTTATGTTAGATCTTGGAATTTTATTTGGGTAAGCCGTCCTGAGGCTCTCGCAAAGGACGGCATACAAATACCCTAAACAAACAAACTTGTGATCCCATCGGGGTCAGCCAGCACATCACAAGAGAACAAACAGAGGTGCTGAAAGCGAGCAGATGCTGACTCATGAGCTGGCAAGCGAAGAACGGAGCACCCGCTACTCTTGCTCTGGCCAAACATTACCGCTGCCCTTGAAAAGGTGAAGCGGCTCCAGTTTATTTGACTGTAACTGAGAAGATGATTCCCAGGTGCATTTGCCTCAGACCAAGAGACACCTCGGGACAGCTCACGTGTCACCAAAAGCCAGCATTTCTGACATTCCACTTATGGTGTGGTCAAATAAAACTGGGGTGCTCCGTGTAGGAACTGATCAGCATATGTCTAAACAGGGTTCTCCAGCTTGCTGCTCTCTCGGCGAACCAGATCTGCAAACCAAAGCCATGCTCACCAGGAGAAAAAGGCACAGGAAAAAAGCAGTCTGCATTCTTGATCAGGGATGATACATTGATTGAACCTCATTTAAAGCGATGCTTTCCCTACATGGAAAATGAGCCCCACCGACTGCTTTAACTAGTTCATAAGCTACCATGTAACAATAGTTTCCAGGACAGCACCCAAGTAAAACAAACCAATATTAACATCAAACACCACAATTACATAAAAACAATTATAATGCAAGACACACACACAACTATAAAACCGAGCCAAGTCATCTGGAAACGAAGAGAGGAGAACCACACAGCACTGCCCTGAAGAGCTGGAAGGAGGGAGCAAAGAAGTAAAAAGAACAATACAGCGTATGAAATAGCCTAACCACACGGCATAAAGGACAGTTTTAAAGGGCCTGGGAAAATAAAAGATATAATGCGAATGCCAGGCACGCGGAAGAAGCCATTCCAGAATTGTGGGGTGGCTGCTGAAAAGCCCCTCTCCTCTTAGAGCCACTGGCTATATTTTAATTGAGGGGAGACCTCAGAGAAGCGTTGCAAAGGCTCTCAAGGGGGAGGGCGCTCCTTGTCCTTTCAAAGCTCCAGACTGTGAACCACAGGAACTCTGCTGTTTGAGGTAAGCATAGATGAAGGAAGAGTTTTATAACAATTAAGGCCTTTGTATGAGTCTGCCCTGGGGGACAGTGCTTTGCATTAGCCCGTGGAAGAGAGCAAGGGAGGCCAAATTTCTGATCCAAGCATCCCTGAAGCTTTTCAGGGGTGTTTTCACTCCCTTGCTCCGCTTTCCCAGCAATCCCTAGCAAGTGCTCCTTGGCTAGTTTAGAATACGAAGCAAACAGTGCCAAGGGAATTTGGTCTCCCGAGGGAACGGGAGCAGCAGGCTAGCAATTCCGCAATCCAACTTGTACCCAAGCGAAAGCCACTCACTTTTATCCAGAAAGTGCTTCAGAGGGGGATGGGGGGACCCCTTCCTATGTCACTCTGCCCCACAACTATATAAAATGTATTCATATATTTGGGGTCACTCTGCCCCACAACTATATCAAATGTATTCATATATTTGTTGAGGAGGAGGAGATTAGGATTACAGTCCACCTTCCTTCCTCTTGAAAGGAACGCAAAGTGTCTTGCACATTCCGCCTATTCTCCGTTTTATCCGCACAACAACCCTGTGAAGTAGGTTAGGTTGAATGTCAATGACTTTGGCCTAAACCACCCAGCGGGCTTGCTGGCCAGGTAAGGACCAGAACCCAAGTCTCTGGAGTCCCAGTCCAGGATGCCAAGCACTGAGCAAAGATGGCTTTCCAGCACACATGGGCGATGCTTCTATCCAAACCACGTATATTCCGTCTTTTTACCAAATCTAGGCACCCGAGTGGGGCCACAACAGGGCCAGCGACGAAACGAGGAGCAAAAATCAAGAAGAAAGCAACAGCAAACGAGGGTATGTACACCGAAGCACGGACCAAATGCCGGCCAAAGGGGGCCCACAGCTAAGCCCAAACCCCTTTGCCCTACCCTCTGGCTAAAGCCGAAAAGGACGACGCTCGCTGAAGCTGCCTGGGCAGGGTACTCCGAAGCCTGGATGCCACAGCAGAAGAGGTCCTGCTTCCTGCACCCTCATGGGAGCCGGTGTGGGGCAGCTGTCCGCGTCTGGACTGGCTCTCAGTCGCGACGCTTCTCTAGCTGGTTCTGGGCCAGTCACTCACTCTCAGCCGACTAGGGCTGAAAAGGGAGGGGGGGATGGAGGCGCACGCCACCTTGGCTTCTGTACCCTGCAAGAGGGACAAAGGCAGAAAACAACCACGACAATGAGTAACGGAGGAGGAGGAGGAGATCCACAGCAAGGTCTCCGGAGGCTGATGCAGACAGAGTCTGGGGAACCGTTTGTTTGGAAGACAGGCCAAACGCATGACTTCCAAAGCCTGACTCGTTCAAGGAGCTAACCTTCAAGATAGCACACAGACTACTTCCATCATTTCCTCCCCCAACACTTAAAAAAAATGAAATGATCCAGCTCCCTTCTCCATCACAGCTCCTGAATTCACTCACATCCCAAAGAGTGTTCCACTTTCCAGTCTGTGTTCTTGTGGCACGGCTAGAAAGGAGAATCTGGAATGTTTGAAAAATTCGTTAAGGCTCTGCCAGCTAAAAATGATGCAGTGGGAAAGATTCTAGCAAACATTCCCAGAATTGCACAGTCTAAGTGTGGAGAATTTCCAGCTCAAGTTTTTCAAGGAAGCATTCAAATTTAATAAACATTAATACCTTCCATTTTTGGATTCTGACGCAGAGTTTTAGACGCAAGTTGGCTGCTAGTTCAGAAGAGTTTCCTCTATCTGACAGGGGTAACAATAACATTTTATAGAATGCTTTGCATTTTTCTCCTTTGACAATAACACTTGCAACCCGTTTCCATTCCACTGAGACGTTTCTGCTTCACCTGTGTGGTCAGAGGTTTGCGCTGAACAAATATTGGACAACCCTAAAGCCATCTTTCCTAGCAATTTTCTCTGGGGTTTCCCCTTGCAGGTCTGGGGTTCTCAACTGACCAAATGACCTTCCAAAACCTGTGTTCCCCATTCTTTAGACTAAGGAGGAATGAGGCATCGTTGCAAAGGGGGGAGTGGGGGAACAGCAACTTTGGAAAAACACACATTAAAAATATATATATTTATACCCCCCCACCACCTGCCCTTTTAGGCTGGTCCAACCATGCACAGCCTAAGGGTCTTCCACAAGCAGGTCCTATAATAAGAGGTTGCACTGCACCCCCCCCCCCCCCCCCTCCTCCAACAAACCACCTGTTCAGGATCTGGCCTCAAATGGCACGTTTTACCGGTGGATCGGGGCGAGGAAGCAGGAGAGTGCGTCTCATCCTCCTCCTGAAACCCTTCCCTCGAGCAAGGAAGGGCGTTTAACCTAGCAGGCGCCCATGCCCCCCTCCAGCACGCTTACAATACATTTAAAGCACTCCACGTCTGAGTAAACCCATCCCTGGTCTTTAAACCCTCCCCAAACCTTCAGTTTCCTTCTTGCCCCACACTCTCAGCAGCCCCAGAAATCCTGGAAGTTTACAGTTGTCAATTTGTTTGTGGGGGGGGGGGTCTTAATGGCTTGATCACAAATCCGTGTGTCCCTAGAGAACAGCACGCCCTCCGTGCGCACACTCATGTAAAAATTGATGATCTTCCTAGGGCCTTGATTCCTTTCCAGACTGATATGCACTCAAGCACCTGGGTCTGTAGAAAGACTGATTCTTCGGGTTCCGTCAGGAAAAGGAGCTGCACCTTCACAGCATTTCCCACCGAGCGCCGGCTGAGGAATACCAGCTGTTCCGGACGGCACCTCAGCGCTGTGTAATTGATTCCTCCATCTTATAAGTGATCCTTGCTCTCAGATGCTCAGACGTGTCACTGCCACATCAGGTGGGACACAAGTACGGCAAGGAGAGGGCGAGCTGCCCACCACGCTCCCTCGGTATTTGTCTTTCGGCACCAGGCTAAGACCTTTTTATTTAAAACTTATTTTAATTGCTAAATCATTGTATCAATTAGGATTTAAAAAAAAATTAGCCGAGAATGCACCGAGGGTTTTTAAATGTTGTTGTTGTTGCTTTTTTTTCTTCTTTTAATTGCTATATTATTATTTATGTTTTATGTATTCTTTGTGAGCCGCCCCAAGGTTTTGTTGCGATGGGGGCGGCATAGACATGTTTTTAAAAACAAATAAATAAATAAGAGCTGCAATTTTGAAATTACATTGCCCAAACATGAAAATGACTGGGAGCTCTCCGGCGTGCGTGATGAATCGAGGGCTCACTGCTGAACATCTTGCCTGGCGCTCCGCAGAGCAAAAAGCTCCCCTCACCCCACATTCACCTGCATGGCAGCACTCCTGGTACGAGGAGGGTATGTGCTCTCTCGCTCGCTCGCTCGCTCGCTCGCTCTCCCTCCCTCCCTCCTCCCTCCAAATATTCAGCCTATACGGCTTCTCTGAAAACAGATCAGCATGTAAGGTCTTGCTCTGTATGCCCCCCAGCACAACAACAGCCCGGAATTGCATCCAAGTTAAGCCTCCTCCACACCGAAGGGCCCCCTCCCTCTGGCGCTTGCTCAAAGCTTCACCTTTGTTCAGCATCTATTGTGCAGGCTGCCTCCGCCTCCCCGACACCTCCAGAAGTTTCAGACTCTGCAGGTTGCGCTTCTACCAAAAGATGCAAAGGAGCTTTTGCCTCTACGCATGGGAGACCCTCCCACATTCAGACTAGGCGTTTGGTGCTCACGGAGCCTTGACTTGACCATCAAAGTCGTTCAAAGAGCCACCATTAGCTAGTTTGCCCCCCCTCGCACCCAGCCACTCCCAGGAAGTTCTAGCAATGAAGCCCCCGTCCAAGCCACCAAACCCGCCCATCCACATGCCAGCCTGGATTAGGACGGGCTTCCTGGTGCAAGAGGACAGATTTCCACAAAAGGTTACCTGCGTGAAATGCTCTGCTGGTCCAACGACCAGGAGAATTGCTGGTCTCCTTTCGGAGGGCTCAGCTGCTTTGTGGACCAGCTTCCCCGGTGTCCTTGGCCCCTGGTCCCCAGCAGTGCGCGCTGGGAGTTCTTTCGCTCCATTCTCTTTTGCCTCGGCAGGGCCCTGACAGGTAGCCTTGGAGAAAAGGCAAGAGAAAAACCGCCAAAGAGACCACAGCATCGCTCCTCCCTCGGCGGGAACCTTAGCGAGGGAGCCCCTGCAGCTGCGCTGGGAGAGAGGCGAGGGTGCAGAGAGAGACGCAGAGAGAGGGAGTCTTAGCAACGCCAGAAGCCCATACTGCCGCAGCCGCTTCCCGCCGTGGAAACCGCTGCGTGCCTGGCCTCCCAAGCAGCCGACTCAGGAGCCAGAGCCCCAGCCCGCTAGCGAGAAGCCAAGATGCTGGGCATGGCAGGAGACCCGGACAGAGGAAAGGGGAGGCTCCGGTCCGAGGCAGCCGAGAGGACGGAGCCCGGCACGCCAGGCGGCCGTCTCGCCCAGCCCCGGCTCCCCAGCACATCCAATGCACATCCAAGGAGCAGAAGCCCCGAGCATCCAGGCTGCATTCTCACTGCAGCAGTGCCCAACCAATCACCGTGCCCAACACTAACAGGTTCATTATTCAAACCAGCACTCTCAGGCCAATCAGGGACGTGTGTGACTGGACAATTTCTTGCACGCGGCCTGATCGCTCTGCAGAGGGGTGCTAGCTTTCACCTCTGTGGCGAGGCTGCCTGGACCCGCTACGGTAGAGAGCGGCACGGATAAATGGGAGGGCGGCCACGGTGGCACCACGCAGGCCGGACTTCAGCAGGCTGAGCCATGGCCCGGGGGGGGCGCCTAGAAAATGCGGCGACCGACTCCTTTCACTTCTCAGTCTTCCAGACCAAGGCTCCATCCCACTTGAGCAAAACGGTCGCTCTAAGCGAACCATTTCTGCCCGAGAACTGAGCTCACAGAAAGGTATATGCACCTCGAGCTTGCCGTAACTTTGCCATTTTTTCTCTCCGTGGTGCATGACAGACTCGCGTCCAGGCACTTAACACCCCTCAAAAGCAGTCTCATGTTCAAAACCTAGAACAGGAAGCTTAAAAGGATGATGGAAGGCAAAACCACTTTCCTTCCACTCATGCAGAAAGTTACGGTGCTGGGAGTCTATTTTAAACAGACAATCAGCCCACACTTCTGTCCACAGCTGACTTTTCTGCCATTGGATCTCCAAGATTATTTTCGCTTGGCCAGGGTCACTCCTGTCTCCCGGCTCAAGTGAGGAACTACAGGGCTAATAGCCATGGGTGGAAAGGGGAAATACTTCCTATATTCCTCTCCCATGTGCCCCCGACCCTCCCTTCATGTTATGCTGCGATCAGAAACCAGCCGGAGAAGGCAAGGATCAACCTTTCTGCATTGCTCTCAACTGGACGGCCCCACATTCAGTGTATCTGCCTCACTTTTCATGGACATATTTCAAGGTAAAGATTAGGAACTGGCTCTGTTTTAAGAGCTGTGCTCCTCGGGATTTAAAATTGCTAGTATGGCTTTTCATTCAGGATGTGGATGAGAGTTGCTGGACTTAAACCAAGTGCTGTACTTCACGTAAGATCTGAATGCCGGGAAACAAAACAGAGCTGAGATGGGGGGATGGAACTGTTTTCTTCTTTTGCCGAGTACTGGAGTAAAGTGAGGTTTCAAGCTACGTAAGCAGAAGAGGTACATCCGGGAAGGCTATGGATCCAAATTCCTGCTCAGCCACAAAGTTACTTGGCCAAATCCCTCTCCCTCAACCTAACCTACTTCACAAGGCTGTTGTGAGGATAAAAAAGGAAGGGGAAACAACGCGTATCAACTCAAAACACAATTTTTTAGAGGAAGAGTAGAGTAAAAACGCAATAAATCATCCACTGGCGAATAAATATAGCTTGACAGGAATAACATAGCATTCTGATCATTACATGTTTTATGGCGCTCTGGTCATTAAAAAAAAAAAACATTGGTTTTGTGTTTTCTCATCCATGCCTGTCAAAACACTCGATGGAATCGCATCACGCACAGTTGTGACTCACCCTGAACCACTGAGACAAAGCAGGGCAGAACTCCAAATAAATATGGTGCGGGCCAGTTGAAGAAAGACAAAACAGAAGACTGGATTCCCAGAATATGTAGCAGCAGAGTCCAGGAAGTCCCCATTGCACAAACAGTCCCACTCTGGGTGGTAAAAGAAAAAAAAAATCATCTACACGGAAAGGGGGAGGTTTCAAACCCAGATTACCATCAGAAAACTAAATGCCAAAGTCCAGGACCAAGCCAAGAGGAATTTGCTCAATGGATTCCAAGACAACGGTGTCAATGACTCTAAAAATACTGCTCGCAAGGACGGGCCCGTTTTTTTACGCAGCAAATATCCCAAGAATGTTCTCTTCCTGAATGCTATCTGGTGCGTACTACAGACAGCATCCTGCCAGAGGAAATAAAGGTTCCGTTTTTGGAAAGGAAAGAGGATGTTTCAAGGACAGGACAGATCTAGGAATCTGTATTAAGAGAACTGATGCCTTCACAAGCTTACACACACTACAGAACACACGGAAGGCTCTGGGGTCGCACAGCCCACATCTTCACAACCACTTTACGTCCGGATTGCTCAGCAAAGTCTATACGGGCAAGCCCTGCTAAAGATCTTTTCTTCATTAGTGAAAGGCAAGTGGAACATGGACTGTGAAATTCTTGGCAGGGCTGTAAGTCATTGTGCTGATAGTTCCTCAGCAGTGGTAGCTTCCTTCGAGCATGGCGTGATGGCAGCATCAGGAATAAAGCACATAGGTCTCCTGAGCATACATCCTCCCCAAAATTCAGGACTCTTTAGCAATACACTGAGATCCCTATTTGGAAGTGTAGGGACAAGGGGCAAAGCTGAATTTCTTCTACTGCGTTTTCCTCCAAAATACAGCCTCCCATTGACATCAATCCCTCCATGGCATTGGCATTGCGTAGCCTTGGCCCCGTGCATCCAGTTCTCCAAAGATCAGACTTCTCTAAGCACTGTTGGTGTCATAGAAGGGTTAAAAAGGAGCAGAGAGACAAATGTTTTAATGTTGTGTGCGTGCACCCAGGAAAACACTTAATTACTGCAGAAAATTAAATGATTTCTCAACCCGAGGGGCTGCCAGCGTAGCAATGAAATGGTAGAGGATGAGAAAAGCTGCGGACTAGGTAGTCCCAAGCTACTCTCCAAAAACAGCAAGCAAAAGCAGCTGCAGCATTGTCTCCCTGCAGTGACTCATCAGGTTTCAAAGCTCCCCTAGAAAGGGGAGCCAGGCAGGCAGTACAGATAAGCCGGCACATGATTCAGCATTAGAGACTCCTCGAGCGTTTGCAAGAAGACACCTAGTTCTGGGTTGCAGAACTGCCTCTTGGCACTGAAAGATTGTTCCTTGCACTATCAGCGCTGGAAGCAAACTCATCTGTCTGTTGCAGGGGTTTATCAGTAATAGGTACTAAGACTGTCCATGCAGACAGTTTTCCTTATAGAGCACTATTGGAAATTACTAACAAGAGTTTTGCGGTTGTTTTAGGTACAGGGTCCACCGACATCTCAAACTCCTTGGACATGCCTGCAAGGGAGCGCATCACTTCCGAGGACCGGTCTGTCCCCAAAGGGCAGAATCCAAGGAGGACGCCCCCTTGCCCACTGCGTGGCCCAGGAAGCCCCCACCACAGGCTCAGTTATGATTTGGTGCTCCGGGGCGATCCAAAACCAGCAGAAAAGCTCTACCAGCCAGCCTCCCTCCAGAAAAGGTTAGGCCTCGCCATGTGCAGTGCTAAATCTCACTTGAGCTAGTGATGGTCAAGTGAGATTGTCAATTTATTATGCAGGTTTTTTTTTTTTTAAGCCGAGATGCACAGGCTTTAATATTTTTATTGTATAATTTTTATATGCTTTTGTTTTTGTTGTGAGCCGCCCCGAGGCTTTGTTGCGATGGGGGCGGCACAGAAATGTTTTAAATAAATAAATGGTCCTGCTTGCAATATGGAACTGGCAGGTCCCTGCACTTGCTGAAGGGAACTGGTGGGGCAGAAAGGAATGAGCAGGGACATACTAGATTCTGCTGAAGTCCAGAATTCCTGTGCCTGACGGAGACATAGCCATGAATTTTAATAAATTGCAGAGGTAGTGAAGCATCCTAGAATGGCATTGTTTCTCTCCTAAGCCAGTCCTCATTTTTTTTTCCTATAACCTGCTAAGGAGCATCCCTGGAGCAGTCAACCCCAAGGTTTGGCTCCTTCCACGTTTAACAAGCAGCAGAACTACCAGCACAACTGTGCAAGTAAAAGCATTCCAAAAGCAAAGGGCCCAAGTTTTCTCTGCACTGAGCACAAAAAATAAAATGCAGCCGACAAAATTTCTGGCAGCTTGTTTTTACTGTTTATTTTGAAACTGCTGAGGGGACAAACTTAACGTTTCTTTTTCAGTATGCTCCAAATCTGAATAATGACCTGGCTCCCTCCCTCGCGAAGTTGCATAAGGAAAGACTCCCCCCCCAAAAAAAAACATACTTTATTTCCTTCAAACCAATTCTGTGACTGTGCAAAGCAACTTTGTGGTACATGCAGCCTCGGTCAAGATCTTTTTATTGTGTAAACAAAGTGGGAAAAGTATCCCTAAATCCTACTTGCCACTCAGTTTACTCCCAATTTGTAGCAATCTGCATCTCACAGAACAGCTCTCCAGAAGTTCGCCTGCAGCTCTCACAAGGTACATTTAAGATTTTGGAGGTACAAGGCAGACCTGGGACCCAAGCCTCAGCCAAGGATACTGGGTGACCTACCTTTCAACTACTGGGTGGTATGAAATTACATTCACCTGCCGAAACTGCAATGCAAAACAGCACAACACAGAAATTTGGGCTAGCAAGGAAATGGGGTTCTCCCCTCCCTCCCTAAGTTTCAGGTCTGCTTTGATTTTTCTTTGGAGATGACACTTCAGGATACTGCCCAGGTTTATGTGCTATCCTTTTTTAAAGTGAGCAGGTGTTTAAGGAGAGGAGGAAGGTTGAGAGCTCGGAACAGATACCTAAAGGCACTCCTCAAACTTTTCCAAGATGTGGTGTTGCCATCAGTAACATAACCTGTGCCTCTGTAACCCGAAACTAGCATTGGCCAGCCAGAAACACTTCCCAAACGCACCCCGAGATACGGCTCAAGGGGGACTAACCAGCAGGGACAGAAAGACGGTT